TTCCCATTTTAGTTTGATCTAAATTGAAGATTACCAAGAGCTAAAGCTAGAAGTGAATCTGATCTATTTATCTGTATAGTCCACAGAGCAGGCATACAGAGGGCTCCAGAAAAAAGACAGAAGGCTGGCAACCGACCATATTTAACCAGCAGGCTCTGATTTTTATGACTGAGATGCCAGGGTTTCTTGGGGGAAAGAGGGAAAAACAAAAAATAGAGCTCTTCTCCCAGATTCCTCTGAAAAATATTTAGTCCTCAGGAATGTCTGTGATATTTGAAATGTTTTGAATATTCAGGTTAAACAAGATTCATGGATCCAGAAGATTTCAAAATGTTACCGTTAAAATCCTTAAGGTCATAAGAGCTTGGGTGCTTATCAGTTTACTGGAAAACTGAGGTCTATGTGCTACTTAGGAGATGCAGCAGGATTTTTGTTAATTGTACATATGAGTACTAAATGAAATAAAAGACTTGTTTTATCCCAGTCTTCACAGAGCTGGATTTGGCTGTGCTTTGGAATTTTGCATGAGAAAGGAGAAAAAAATAGGTGAAGGAATGCATTTCTGAAGTACAGTTCTTTAGAAGAAGCTAAGTCATGAAGCAGATCATAAGTCATACTGATATACAGGAACTTGTTATGCAGATGAAGGAAAAAGGAGGAAAGTTATTTCAAATGAAGTTCCTACTGGTGCTTGACTATCATTTAAGCAGTGAGAAACTATGGAAGGAAAAATATTTAGTAAATCACAAGTAGCAAAACTAATCAACACAACTTTACTATAACAAATTCTATCCTGCAGACCTTTGAGACCCACATTGATTACGAATGCAAAAGAACTATGGGATTAAGCATATATTCTAAAATAAATTTAAATGGCTATCTTTAGCCTGTGTATCCTTTTCTGAAGTGCAGGCCTGAATCAGAGCTGGACTCAAAGAGAAAAAAGGGAGGATCTAGATTAGTTGCGTGAAGGGATTGTTTGAACATGTTTATCATTCAGCGTTAGAAAGGCATTGCATTGAGGTCACAAAAGGATTGTTACTGAAAGTTTCTGTGCATGAAGATGGACAAGGATCCCCCTTAATCACATCATGGCTCAGCTGTCAGAGGTCCAATGAGCTTACTTCATGCTGAACTTATGTTACTTCGTGTTGCAAACCATGATAATTCCTTTTTGAACTCTCATATAAAATGCTGTGTTTATTTTTTTAAAGCACAACTCAAAGTCAATATTAATTCAATAATTGTATGGTTTTATTGATACTTAATGACTATCCCAAGCGGTTAACAATGGAAAACTTGTTCTTTAACTCAATGTTATAACTGGGTATATCAGTGAACACATTCTCATGCACATGTTTTTAAAAATCATTCTTACTAATGTCTGAAATAAAATTTAAAAACAAAACAAAACAGAATAGATCAGGTACTAATGTTGCAATTTAAACCTATTTCAATTTTCTAATGTCCTTCAATTTTTCATAGCTTTTAAAGGTATGATTTTTATATGTATTTTAATCTTGCTGAATATATCTGCCTAATAAGAATAATATTAAAACTAAATTAAACCTGATTTTTTTTAAAAAGTCTTTAAAGATGTAGTGGGGAATAGTTGTCATTTCTGGCTTTCTTGAAGGTCTAGGACTGTATTTTAAGAAACCCATTTTTCCCTGTTATGTGTTCTTTCATTGTCCCACTTCCTTTTTACCTTAGTCTTGCTGGCCTGTTCTTGTCAGATGCCCTACTTATGAGAAATTTCAATCCACAACATTTTTTCCTTTCTACGGTCAGCCCTCCGCACAGAGGAAGAAGTGCTCCATGCCAGCCGCTGGCTGACTCATGTTCCTATGGACTGTTGTGGATCATTCTTTATTCTGAAAAAAATCTCATTGTCGCCAGTTAAAGGTTGCTTATGTACATACCGAATGAAGCCAGTGGAGTTTTTTGTTCTGAGTAAAGTGTGTTATAGAATTTCTTTGGCCCTATAGAAAATGTTCTCGACCATCAATATTAAGATTTCAATGTACTCATCTAACCAGAAGTTCTTACTCAGAACATACTCTATAAAGTGGGGAATAATCTCCATTTCTACTGAAATCATATCTTTCTATATCACATGCGATATAGATGTAGTAGTAGACTCTCTGTAAGTGTTCAATTCTGGGTTGACAGGGAAATTTAGGAGTTCACAGAGAAATTTAGGTCTTTAAGTCCCACTGAAACACCTCCTAAGAGTCTTTCAGGTCCTAGTCCTTCTTTCTTACACAGAGAAAAATAGGCACACTGCAACAGATCAAAAATATCCTGAAGGAGATGCATAAATTCAATGATATACTTTATGAGATTTAGCTGGTTTGATGAAGGAGACCATGAATTAGTGTGTTGAGAAAAGGTCTAATGGATAAGCAGAATGCTTTGCTAACTGATCTTAAAAAAAAAAAAAAAAATTTTGTGGTGACTTAATTACTTTTATTTCTGTTCTCCCCAAACCAGCAGGTCTGCTTCCATATCCTGTGAGTGTGAACTTCCCCTAAGCTTAAACAAGTGGGAGAACTTGCAGGAAAGGGACCTATCTTTTAGGTTAATAAACTGGGAAAACAAATTACCTGCATGAGCCCAGCCTACAATAGTCATCAGCTTATTATTAATAAAAAGATCAAAAATTATTGTTTTGTTAATATTTCTGTCGTTTAGCTTTAGGTGGTTTTTTTGTTTGTTTTTGGTGTTTATATTACCTCAGCTGCTCTTTATCAATTTTTTTTCTTAGATCCTGCACTGAACATGATTCAAATTTTATGTTTATGAATCTGTATTTATAGAAATACAGAACTGACTATTGGTAGTTTTTGGTCATGCTGATTTGAATTATGAGAGCTGGGAATCTACTTAAAGATAACAATGTCTGTGAGTGACTCTCAGCCACCATGGTACATTGTTTAATATTATTTAATAAATGACTGGCAGAGTGTGTTTCCAATATTTTATCTTTTCCTTCTAGTTTATCCAAGTAACCTGCCTGTACATGGCAGGCATATGTGGTGGGACAGAGAAACTGGTACATCAGTGTGTGTCAGCTAGTGCTTAATTAGATCTTTCTACAATGGGAAATAACAGTTTCCCACAATGGATCTGTTACACGGAAGGAAAAAAGTAGATGACTTTCCAGGAAGGTGATAAGGAATCAGGCCAGTAAAGCTGCTCTTACATGTTTTTGCTTTGTTTTACCTGTTGCCCCAAATAAGCAGCAAGGCTCCTAAATGTTCATCATTATAGTTGGCAATATTAACCCAAATCACTGTTTTCCTTACAGCTGGACTTAAAGAGACACAGATGATGATTTTCACAAGTACCCCTTAAGATTAGGTCCATGCTTTATTACATGTGAATCCTTGTGGGATTATAGCCAGTGTGTTGCTATAGTGCCTCTCACCTGTTCCAGAAAGTCAGCAGTAACAAGATGATGCTGGAGAGGATAGCCATGGTCAGCAGGTACCTCATACAGAGTGGCAGCATTTCTGAGCAACAGTTACACAGTAAGGTTTATTGAACACATGAGATTTACCAGTCATATTGCTTGCAGTATGAAAGTGTCTGCTATTGACTGGGTGGAGCATCTTGCCAGCTGTTAGTGATATACATTTTTTTCCTCGGTGTGTCTTTACATTGAAAAAAGATTCAAGCATCTGTTTCAGAAAGTCAAACAAATATGAAGCCACCTTAGGTTATTTGTACATGGGATTTTAAAAGCAGTACTGCAAATTGTGCAGAGCAGTTGCTGACTCTTGGACTGCCATTTATTCAAAACATGTATTGGAGCACTACTGACCTACTGAACTTCTGTTTATAGTAGCATTACTTCAGTAAGGTGGGGGCTTACTCTCGTTTTCTACAGTATTATAATGAAGTTTGTAAAAGATGCACTCTTTTTATGCCTATCTGACTGAAGATTTTTTATAAAAATAATACAGGAAGCAAAAACTAGAATGAGTCAGAAAGTGACTACAGCTGAAGAAAATGAAAAAGCAGAATGATGGCACTTGTTTACTGTCACTCCTAACACCATCAAACTGAGATGCTCCTTTCTGCTAGCAGTTGGCCCAACCCATCTGACTTGTACAATTTTTCAGTAGCCAGGGAATTTGGACAAAGACTTTATGTGAATCCTATTCCTCTCTGTACTGCACGAGTGATAAGAGCTTTCCTCCATAACACACTTTACTGGATAATTCTATTATCCATCAACACGGAACAATGGAAGTGCACTTGCCAGAATTTACATGTTAGGTAATTATTTCTGCTTTCATTTAAATTAGTTTATAAGCTTCTGTTTTCTGGCAACAGGCCCAAGTCTTTGGTAACTGGACACAAGCCTTCACATATCCTTAATGAACAGCTCGCCCTCTTTTTAAATTTTACTTCCCTTTTTTTCTATCTATCTTCCCACTCTTAGTTTTTTTAAAACTACTCCCATTACATCCTTTCAGCATAGATTCCTTATAATTTCTTCCTTCCTTTTTTTCTGTTTACGGGGTTTCTAGTCCTAACATGTGTCTTTTACTACTGCAGGAAGGTTTATCAAAGTACTAGTACTCTGTGTGTTTGTGTGACTGACGTATTGTGCCATGTCCTTGTGCAATCAGATGTAGAGTCTGATCAAAATGTTTTAACTCATGGCACTGAGTTCATTCAAGGTCTCACGTCCCAGACAAATTACACGTGCCTTCTAACCAATTTGGATAAACACATACTCTGAGGAGAATCTGAGATATCTTTTTCATAGGATTTAACTCCTTCGACCTTCCAGAACCTCAGGCAATTGGATGTATAACTATTCTCCACTTTACTAAAGATAAATCTCTCTCTTTTCAAATACATATGTACACACACACTTATTTATTTATAGCTAAATAAGGTCATAAAAAAACCCAAAAATTCTAGGATGTTTTAACTATTTCATTGACTTTTCAGATTGTTTTTAAGCTGTTTTTTAAACTTTAAAGGCAACACTGATAGTGAACGGTTCCAAATGGTAAAACAGAAAATCCCCTTCAAATATAACCGGCCCGTAGAGGAGTGGCTGCAGGAAAAAGGTAACAGTCATTAAAACTTTCATTTTAAACCCATTTGATTCTAAACCCTCATTTTTAAAGCCTGCAAATAAATGTTTCTTAAATGATAATCGCCTGCTGCATAAATGACTGTTTTAATTTTCATTATAATTTGTGTCAGCTTCCACCTGCCGTATGTTGATAAATCATGCTATAATACATTGCTATTAAAATGCAGTTAAAGGGACGAAATTCTAAGATTGCTATCATAGTAATGACAAACAAACAAGCAAAAATTCAGGAGACATTTTCTAAAAAAAAACAGAACGAAGAAGAGTGAAGAGCAACAACATGTATTATGGCAATTTAACCACTGCATGATTTACCTATTTTGATTTGTTTTTAAACTACATTTATATCTTTATTATCAAAGTTTTCTTAAAAAATTTTCAAACCTACTTGTTAAACCATTTCCTGTAAGTTTCTTTTTTCTCATTAGTCTAATTAGCCACTATGGCTATGTATTTCCTAATTGTATTAAGATAATTAAACGATTTTAAAAAATGTTGTAAAGAAAACATTTTTTAACATTTTCATTTAAACTATAGTAAGGGAGACAGAGAAAGATGATTGTTCTGTCACTTTTATGCTATGTCTGGAGTACAGTTTGAACACTCAAATGATACATTTGTCCAAGTTATGGGTCAAATTCTTCCCTAACTTAATCTCAGGCAGTGCTACTTAATTTTGTGGGTTTTCCTGGCATAATTGGCCTCAGTTTAGCAAAAGACTTGTTAACATGCATAAATCCGGTTGCCTTGAGTGAGAGTTCTGCATACACTCCATGACCTGTTGAAATGGGACTTGTGTCCAAACAGAAATGTTTTTTTATTAGGAATTTGGAGGGGGAAAAAAAGTCTTGGATGTAGAGCCCAATCCAAGGTTCTGTTGAAGGTAACAGAATAACTCTTACTGGTTTCAGCAGGGTTTGGACTGGGCTCTTGGTAATACAGTAGAGCTTAAGTCAGGAAGATCTTCTCCCTCTATACTAACTGTGTATTTAAAAAAAAAAAAAAAAAAATCACTGTAACTAAATCCTTACCTTGAAGTCTAGAAAAAGCAGAACATGATCTTCTCTTGTTTCCTTTTAAGAAAGTACTGCTGATAAAAGGGGGTGACCTTTGAACTCATATCTTGCATTTTCTGTGCTGACTTATATTATGGTTGTTAACAAATTTTCCATGAGGGAAAACCAATGTTTTGAAGGATTGGAAAAATATAACTTATGTTCCATTTCAAACTTCTGTCCTCAGCTAAATTAAACTGATTCAGCCAGTATGAATTAAATTAAGGTCATGAAGGATTTGGCTAACTACACTCAAAATATTTTTATGTGAAGGGTCTGATCCTGCAAAGTGTTGTGCATGCTCAGTTCCCATTGACTTCAATGAGAGCTGACACTGTTGCCCACTTTTCAGGTTTGGTCTACAATGGTGTAATGTTTGTGACTAAAGCTAAAGTATTTGTGAAAGTAAGACAAAAATATTAGTGTAACTAAAACAGAAATATTTTTTGACTACCAGGGTTTTATGGAACAGTTAATTCAGCTAAATTGTAAATAAATTTTAAGATAAAAGTATACAGAAAATGCTTATTGAGTCTCAGTGGGCTGCCCTGTTAATTTACAAGATCAAACTAAAACAAATAAATAAAGCTTAACACTAAAAAGAGGATAATTTTGGTAAGTTTGAATTGCTAAAGTCCCTTTAACACTAAAAACAATGATTGCCTCAATTTTGTTAAAACAGATGCATGTCTAATTCCTTGATGCAGTTCATGTGCTTGAGAAACCCACCTTTGTTTTCTTTTGTGGTTTTGGTTTGTTTTTTTTTCCTTTTTGGTTTTCTACCAAATCTTTTATTTTATGTCACTGCTTCTCCAAGTTTGAGCTTATGAGCATGCCAAGGCACTTTCATTTGTAAGCCATCCTGAAGTTTTGAACTGAAGTCTACCTTTTGTGGATATTGATGCTTTGTTAAAAGACAATCACACATGCAGTAGGGTCTAAAAGAGACAATATTTGAGCATTCAGACACTCTCAAAGCACTGAATGTTTTTAGGCTGCAAGGGTAGAGCCAAGTTTTTACTAAAGTGAAAGGAAATTCAGTCTTCACACTTTGTGTTAGGGAATGTCATCGTGCAGTGTAACACCTGAGACAACATAGCTTTGTTCCTTCATTCTGAAATAGATAGACATTTTCAGCAACTTGGGTACCACTCAAATTAAAAAATAATAAGAATGAATAATTTACCTAGCTGTTCACCAACCTGCTCATCCATCTGGTCATCCATCCAACAATTAATGTAACATGAAAACCTTCTGTCAAAAGACTTTATAAAGATGATGAGTGAAAGGGTAGCTTGCTATCAAATTGGAACAAGATGAACTGATGGATGGAGGAATAGATAGATTAATCAAAGAGACAGCATACAGAATAGCTGTCTTGCCCATATGAGTTCTTGGCTTGAGTGAGGTAAGATGAAACACTTTTCACTTGACATTTTTTAATCCCATAGATTTGGTCTTCCTGTGGTACCACTGTTACATTATTCATAATAATGAAATAGTTCATTCTTGGAAAACAAATATAATAAAACATCTTTCTGAAGCGGTATCGTTAACTGGGTTTGGGGTTTTTTTTAATTTTATAAATTGGTTTCAAATACTTCTAAGAAGAGCCCAGGTTTACAATCGTAAATTGTATGAGTAATAAGAAAACATTAAACACTATTAACTTCACTGAGATTATGTACGTGAGTAAAAAAAGAAATATTAGTCCTAAATTGTTCAAATTAAGTAGTCATAAACCCAGCAGATTTCCTTAGGAGAGTACATGGTGTCTGCTAAGGCACAGATGTTAGCTATTCTGCAATTGGATGAGCTAATAAAGACCCAGAAGCATCTCATCAAATGGACTGATCCTGGAAGTCCTTAATTCTTGAAATCTCTCTTACTTACATGTGAAGTCTTGTGGATGTGAGTGACTGTACTTTTGAAGCAAGAATTATTAGTGTGAATTAGGATTTGCAAAATCAGGCCCAAAATCTCTCCTAGTGTTACAGAAAAGTTACACTTCACTAAGATTTCTCTGTGATATTTTTAATTGGTGTTCAGTTTTCCAAATGAAGAAGTCAATGAGAGAGCAAACAAAGAAACGAGAGCTTGAACTATTCAGAACATTTACAAAACACCTGAGAAACTTAAAATGTGCTCATCATCTTTCTCCAGTATGACACTAAAATAGCAGTAGGAAGAGTTCTCTGTGGATAAGGACTGTAAGTCTGCAACCCTTTTACACACCTAGTAGAATTGACTAAAGTAAACAGTTCCTCAGTAAAATTCAGTGGCCAAATAAATTTTACTTAGGGGAAGTAAGGGCTTCAGATCTATGTCATCAAAAGAATGATTAGAAGAGAGCTATGGTGGTAGAATTAAGTGTGTATTCTCTCAACAGTTTTCTCTCATTCCATATGCATTTCCCTGTTGTCTTTATTCATGCACATGTACACTATTGTAAAGTGAAGAATGAGGAATGACAGGTTGTAGGTGATTCCAACAAGTGACTGTTCTTTTAGCAAACACAGTTCTAGTACCAGTGCTGTCTCCAGCATTAACCATATGGTGCAGCACATGAATCCTGGATTGGAAGACCACTTAACAAACAAGGAAGACCCCAAAACACACAATCAAAGTTCCTTTTTTACCGGAGTGGTGCCACCTCCTTGGTGTACACTTTCTTTCAGTGTTAGAAGATGCAGATGAAGGCCCAGAAATGGAGACATGATCTTTTTTTCAGCCTTAATATACTATCTCCTCATTCTTGAAAGTAAAGCAAGAGTTATGACAGACATGTCTAAAGCTGTGCTGTGAGCTTGGGTTAGAATAGATGACATGCTGGGGAGAGTTGTAATCCTTCAGTAAATGTGAGGGACCCCTTTTCTAACCTGGCTTGGAGAGCTCTCCTAGCTGGAACAGCAACAATTCTCCTTCCTCATCATCGCCCACCCCTTTTCCCCTTTGGTAAAAGATGGAAAAAGATACAGTATTGATTCAAGAGGAGAAAGGAATGGAAATGGAAAAACTTTGAATGGTCAGTACCTTCCCTCCATTTTCAGGGATAACATCTCAAGATTAGTGAAATAACTCCCTATTCTTTACTCATCTCACCTCTACCTTTTGGCACTCTATCATGAGTGAGGTGGGAAGGAGGGAACAGTAGCAAGTGAAATGTCTGGGTATGTAGGGGCAGGGACAGAATGGAAAGAAATATAGTGCTAGAGGGAGGGAATGTGTGAGAAGAAGGGAAAATGGTGTAATAAAGAACTGACAGCATATCCGTTAAAATATCTAAAGCACAACAGGACAAAGAAAAGCAAACTCTGAGGACAAGAGTTTGGCCTTCTACAGTGTACAGTGCCATTTCCTCTAGCTCAGAGAGGAGCTGGGCTGAGAGGGCTGAATATTTTGACAGATGCTGTTATTGGATACTATTTTCCTCATAGACAAGAGGAAAGGCTCTGTTTTTACATGCTGAGGATGTGTGGCTTCAGTGCATGTTTGTTGATGTATTAATGGACATACGTTGCCTCTGGTAAGTTTAAAACCTCCTGAGATGCAGAATATCGCATCAGGTGTTTCAACACTTTCCAGGGGAAGGATACCCTCCATTTTTATTTCTCATTTCTTCATCAATGCAGTTACTCCACCCTGATCAAGTCCTAGTGTTTCATTTACAAATCTGTGGGTGAAGAGCACAAGGGATGTGCAGCCCGCCTCCACATGTCCATATGTTACACCTCTCCGTAAACTTTTGCTTAGTTAGCTAGGGCCCTCTTTGGGGACAGGAACTCCTTTCAGATACATTTCTTCTCTTGTCCCCATTCTTTTCCCCATGGTTCATCCTGTCACCATAAGATGATGCAACACCGCATCACCACTTGACTTCGAGACCCGTCACGACGACCACCAAAATTGGTGAGCTCCCCCTCGTATTTTCATCTACTCTAACCACTGGCTGTGAAGGAATGAGCAGTGCATTATAGGCTCTGCTTTGCTACATGGTGGCATTTTGTACCTCTCATCAGGGTTGACTAGAGAGAGGAAGTGGTGAGTGAGAACTGGGGAGCGGGAATGGGATGGGGACATGTGTTGCAAACTTCATTAAATTGGGAACAGGCAGTAGATATTTGAATGATGATTGACTTGATGCTGCATTGATAACCCTTCTGAGCTCTGCCCAGTCTGGTTGTCTGTTAATTCAACAGATTCCAGGTGGCATGCCCCTAATCTTCTGAGGAACAGTGAAATTAAAGGCACTGCCTTTGCACTGCATGAAGCAATTAATTTCTTAATATAGTCAACCTAGTGCAGCCTGGGACATAAGCAGTATTTATAGAGCAGTCCAGGCTGAATGTGATTTAAGTGTCCTGCAAAAATAGGTGAATTGGCAATTGTTACTAGATTTATTTTTAATAAATATATTTTTCATTACATATGATATTAGACCACTCGTAACACTCAAGGTGTGATCTTGAGTAAATCACTTAACCTGCCTACATTTGAATTTCACTGTCTGTAAGAGGAGAGTCACATGTAAGGCATTCTGGGCCTTAACCATCTGAAGCACTAAGTTATCCTCACTATTTCAAAAGCTTTGCTCTTTCAGAGACATCACAAATGTTTACATTTGGTGTTTCTTGGTTTTAGATTTGTGAGCCTTCACAACACAAAATTTACAGGTGGAAGATCATGACTAATCCTGTCTTTAGATTCCTACACAATCGTTGTATCACCATCAATTTTATCTGATGTTTCACTGTCCTCAAGCCACCCCTTAAAACTTTGCATTATAAAAAGTGGCTTTATGAGTTAATACCATCCTTTGACCAGTCAAAATAGAAAGTTTATTTATGAGCTAAAGCTTGACAGGTACTGCAATCTGAATTAATAGTAGATAAATAGCCACATATTGAAGCCTTATTTGTAGTTTAAAATGAGTCCAACTCTAGAAGAGTGGGTTCAAATTTCTGACTGAGTCAAAGCTCCTCCAGAGTTTTGATGTGTGAGTGGATGCTGAAGTACGAGGTTCAGTTTTAGCTGTTCTTGCTTTCAGGCTAATCTTCCTTATTAATGAACTTTAGGCAGTACCTTTCCATACTGTATTTCTACAGTCATCATAAACACTACCAAGAATGAATCTACTTCTTTGTTGTCTGTCATTTCTAGCCAGGACTCAATGTAAGATGCAAAGTGAAGGAAATGTCTGGCAATAATATTATTCACCCCCCCTTCACTAGGACGACAGTTAACGATCTTCAACACCCAGGCGCAAATAGCCATAGGAGGGAAGGACAGAGGGCGTCTCTTCCAAGGCCAGCTCTCCGGTCTCTATTACAATGGCTTGAAAGTGCTGAACATGGCAGCAGAGAACAATCCCAACATTAAAATCAATGGAAGTGTCCGACTCGTTGGGGAAGTCCCTTCCATCTTGGGAACAACACCCACAACCTCTGTGCCACCAGAAATGTCTACTACAGTCATGGAAACCACAACTACGATGGCCACCACTACAACTCGAAAAAATCGTTCGCCACCCAGCATCCAGGTGAGTCAATTAGTCTTCTACATTTTCTGGGATTCTTAATTAGTCTTTTGTTTCACTGCTCACTTGTAAATTCATGGGAACCCTGATCTCTGACTCATGTTCTATGTAACTATTTAATAATGTTATATAGGGTAAATCACCACAAAATGCCCTTATGTGTTGCTGAACAAACAGCTGGATGAATTATTATGGCACATGTATGTGATAATGGGGACAGATTTTCCTCCTCTCCTAGTGCAACCCTATTTATGTAAGTAGGATTGCCCCAACGTGAATGAGAACGTGATTTTAACTCTGTTTCTGCAGTTCCATATGTAGGGAAATGTATTCCTAAGGAGTTACAAAGCTTAATGGGGGGTGAGTGTATGGTTATTTATTATTATGACAGTAGATACTGCTGCAACAGTGAAGTTCATAATGGGGAGAAAAGCAATGGAGCATTACTTCCAGGTAGAGCCATTTATCATTTTCCTTTTATAGCCTTCCTGTAGAAAATTTTAAAGGAATACTATCAAGATCAGTTTCTTGCAAAATGTAGATGTTCCAACATAGAGTGGTTCCAATGTCATTTGTAAAAATCATTTCTACAAAAAAAAATGGATTACAGATGTTCTGGCTTAATTGTGCCAATGTAGTGTTTTCAGACCTAAAAATGCAGTGGTTTTGGAACCACTTGTGTGGCAGCCAGAATACACTGGCTGAGATACTGGTGAGTGATTATTGATCAGAGTGTGCCTTTATTAAACCTCCAGAGAAAGGTATATTGTTGTCTAGTTGGAGAAAAAATTTGAATTATTCCATCTGCTTCCCTGAAACAATTTCTGCTGCTTGGGACAAAAGACCTTAATGAAATCAAGGACTTTGAAATCTGTGATCATGCAAGTTGTATGCTTGCTTTCTAACTGCTTCAGAAGTTTTAATCAGTTATTGATTGTGTTTGTATATATATGACGATTCTCTTTATTTTTTATCTAGTCCTGATCACTTAGGATAAGAAAACACAAAAATCATCCTCTTAATTGTGTAGGAGGTCAGGCCACAGCTGGATTATTGTGTCCAGTTCTGGGCTCCTCAGTACAAAAGAGAGAGCTACTGGAGAGAGTCCAGCAAAGGGTCTCCAAGTTGGTTAAGGGACTTGAGCATCTCTCCTGTGAGAAAACGCTGGGAGAGCTGGGACTGTTCAGCCTGGAGAAGAGAAGGCTCAGGGGGGATCTTATCATTGTATACAAATACCCGAAGGAAGGGTGTAAAGATGAAAGTGGTGCCCAGTGACAGGACCAGAGGCAATGGACACAAACTGAAACACAGGAGTTTCCCTCTAAACATCAGGAAACGCTTTTTTACTGTGAGGGTGACTGAGCACTGGCACAGGTTGCCCGGAGAGGTTGTGGAGTGTCTATGCTTGTAAATATTCAAAAGCAATCTGGACATGGTCCTGGGCAACTGACCCTGTGTGACCCTGCTTGAGCAGGGTGGGGTTGGACCGGATGACCTCCAGACAACCCTTTCAACCACAACCATTCTGTGATTCTGTGAAGTACCTCGGGCTGCAGTGGAATTTACAACTATTAGAGTAATTAATTCCAAGCCAAGGTTTAACATTGCCCCCTTTGGTACTCTGTAAACCCAGTTGGCAGCAGGACTGGGATTAATTGAGTTATTAGCCTCAAACACCCAAGAGGTAATTTACAAAGTCTCAGTTAAATGAGGGGAAATTACCCCAGGCTTGGTCACTGTCATAAACTTTGAAAGAATTACAGTTTCTTCTCCTCAGTGGCTAGCTCTAATTTTAGAGAAAATCGTTGTATGATTACATCTCCAGAAGAATAAAGTCTCTGGTCCTGATCCTGCTCTTGTTAGTTTACTGGAGATTTTCCATAATTTATAAAGGCAGCAGAACTGTTTAGCTGTAGGAGTGTAACAGAGAGTAGCACTGGACCTTTGTGGGCTGGGTCAAGCTGGAAATGATTCTGGCTTACCTGAAGAGGAACTCTTCGAGAAAGCTTCCTGCCTAGCCTACGTGGCAGTTCACGCCGCCTGTAGAGACCACTGTGTGCTGAAAGAGCATCAAGAAGATTTAATAAAGTGTCAAAGTGCTTCTAAAAACATGGTTAGAGCAGTGATTTCCTGGATACACATGCACCACAACAAATGGCCTCATCTCAGCTGATATTAAAGCAATAACTCTTTGACACTTCATGCTACCCACTGAAAGAAAGATAAAGGTCAATATGTACCTCCATTACAACTTTCTGCATTTCAATATCAGGCCATTTTATTGCTGTCGCAGCACAGATGGCTCTCCTTTCTTCCTTACTCTTGGTAGAATTTGATTCTGTCAGCTTAAGTTGCGTTATTTGTACAGTGAAAGTGAGAAGAAATTGTCTTTTTCTGTTTGGGCAGTATCTCCAGCTGTGGTTTTCAGATGCCTAATGGTTATTTTATCTTGCTTGTGTTCAACATCGCCATTGTCAAGCCTGCTTACAATTTTAGATCTAAGTGGTGGAAAAATCTAATAGAACAAGTTTGTTCTTTGGGGAACGTAAAATATAGGTACCTAAGGCTATGAGTGGTACAAATACAGTTAGTTATTACCTTGCTCCAGCTTTCTCTTCTCTTTTCTGCTCAGAAGTAAACAATTTTTCTTCACTATCAAGGCTATTCACAGTTTAGCCTCTTCTCTCCCCATTCTGATCATCATGATTCGAGCATTTTTTTGCTGACTTCTTAGATTTGATCATAAGAATCTTTCTGCTTCCTGGTACCATCCACAAGGCAGCAGCAGGTTATTTTTCCAATCCCATTGAAACCCTCCTTTCATCATGATGCATGCCAAAAAGTTGTCAGAGGTTAGGCTGGTGATGGTCTAAGGCAGCTGTTTATGAAGCCAATTAATATTGTCACATTTTTTGGTTTATTATCCATTTTTATGTATCCATGTATCCATCTCGTTTTATGCTTACATTGTGGACTCCGTGGGTTCAAAATGTACTTTTTTTTTTTGCACGTGTACACTACTTAGCACAGAAGGGTTCTGGTTGTAGAAATACCAAGCATGATACAAGTGTAAGTAAAGCATCTAATGCAAAATAGCAAGAATTGGGATAAAGAATTATTATTCTTACTGTATTAGAAGAATCTTTGCTATTTGTATTACTCATTTTCATATGTAAGTAACTAAAACTTTTCCTTTTTGAAATGCATATAAAGCTTGTGCAGAATATCAAGTCTGTAATCCCAAAGTGATACAAAATCCAGGGGAATTTCAGTAGGATTTAGATTTACCCATCACTTGTTAAGGAAGTACGGAAGAGCATGGTAACTGCAAAGATTTCTTCTGTTTGTAATGTACACCAAGATACCTGCTGCAATTAGGTAGTCTGAGTACTGCCAGAAGTATTTTAGAGCACAGTTGGACTAAAAGAGCTGGGAAAATGAAGTGCTTTAAAAATACACAGTATATGCACAGACCAATGACATGGTTTTCAATTTGTGAAGATCCCAAACATGGGATGTAGTCTTGGATAAACAACCAAGACAAAGGGAGTTAAGAGAAAAATATTACTGGAAATACCCTGTGGCAATGATATTAGCATTTAAAATGTCTATTACTTCATTGTGTTTTAAAATTTATAATAACATATCTGCAAGGCAGTGAAACTCAGATCAGTGGAGGACAGGCAGGATTTGGGTGAGAAACAGTTGAGATGTGCAACTGTATGCTATACTGATAGGAATGTTTCTGTCATTCAAATATGCTTCAGAGAGGCCTTGAAGGAAGACAACAAGAGCTGACCTTTTTCTGTTAAATGAAAATAAGGGAGAAAAAGGAGTTTCGTTTCGTGTTTGTTTCAGTGAGTCGCAAATGGTGCTTGTGCTCTGCTGCCCCTCAGTAGAAATGCTGATTTGACTTTCTCACATGCGGTTTTGTTCTGAATTTAAGTACGGTCTGCTCAGAAGTGACATGTGCTGTACTAAATTCTTGCTGCCAGTCTCAGGGCCCTGACACACCAGCCTCTCCTGTGATAACAATATCCTCTCTGGGACTTCTGCTTTGCCATGTTACCCTACGAAGGCCTCAAAGACAACCTGTTAGCTTTTGCATGTGGTACAGTATCATGTTGTGCAGGCTGCTATTAGATGAGAGTCACTGTAGTGTGCCACGTCATATTCTTGCAAGGCTGCCATGTCTCTCACAGGGTTACTTCATTAGCAATTGTTAAAGGTCATGGAATCCCACGTGTCCCCATTTCCTGATTTAAAGCACAGCTTCAATTATTAGTGAAGTAGTTCAGGGATTTCTGGGTTTGGGAGACTCCTGTGAAAAGGAGTTAAAGTGACGCTCATTCTCTTGGCTTCTGCTTCCATGTCAGCTGCTTCTATGCTCAGAATTTATTTAGTGAGTCACTGCTCAAAGCTTTTTAGGAGACTCTCCATATGCTTTGATGTGGCATGTTCTGTCCAGTTCACAGCTGGGTCATTCAGTTTTCAGATGATTTGTGTAAAGATATCTTTGAAGTTAATTACTAAGTAAAGCCACTCTAGAAAAGCATGCATGGTGATACACGAGTCTTCCGTTCGAAACACGTTCAGTTCAGTGAATCCAAGATATGATACCAGCCAGTGCATGGGTCCTTAAGAAGAACTGCTCCAGATAAGCTTCTGGAGGCCCTAGGGCCCACTGACCTAGGGCAGGCCCCTAATATGTCTGCCCTATAACATGGATGGATGGGGTCCCAAGACCAAAATAACAGACAGTTTTCTGTGATAAAGAGATCAGAACCCTTCTGGGAGGACAGATGGACTTTGGTTACGCTCTCCATGAGGAACCAGAAACTGTGTGCTCTGTTACATACGCAGCGCATGCCTCAACTTCTTGAGATGAGGATAATGACACTTGCCAAACTGTTCAAACTGTAGCTTGGAGGTGACGAGAATAAATTACTTGTGGATGTTTTCAGCTATGACCTTAGAGCCATAGAATGACAGTGCATGATATATAAT